TGACATTTAATTTCCTGGCACGTGACTCATCCTGAGCCCTTAGGCTCTAAAAAGAAAGAAAGAAAGAAAGAAAGAAAGAAAAATAGAATGAAATAAAACACTTTAAGTTAATCGTCTATCCGCTACTTGCTGTAATAGTTAACGCCGGTGGCAATGCGACGTCTAACCATGGGACCGTGTAATTATGCGTTACCTGACCGGAAACACGAACTTTATTTCTGTTCATTCGGAATTCAAAAGGGAAGTGAGAAAATCCTTTTGTTCATGGAATAACACGAGATACATAACGTTTCCTTCACCATTACAGTTATTATATATCATTAGATTGGTATTAATTATTTTCGAAGAGGCCGCGTAACTGAAATATGCCAATGTTATTTTGATATTTATTAGAGTTAAACAATCAAACGTGTAGAAGTTAAACGTCCTATTTTTCTTTCTATTTCTAACGTAAACTAGAATTAAAAGATAATTTCTCTGCAATCTATATTTATCATTTTATATACATACATATATATATATATATGTATCTATAGAGAACTAATGTAAGATCGCGGAATATTTTCACATGCTCCGTTGCATTCCACGTGACTGAGATCACTATAATATCAGAACTCATTTGGAAAAGATTTGCTAACAGTTGTGACGTGTTCACTGTAAATCGTAAATGACAATAGTGCAAGAAAGACTATACAAATGTCTATATGTCGAAGTTCCTTTGACTACTTTCAACGACTTTAACATGCATTTCCATTTATTGTTAAGTATATATATATATATATATATATATATATATACATATATACACATATATGTACTATACAAAACGACTTTTTCCTTCTTCAGAGTTAGCAATGATCCGCTTTATCGTTCGCTCTTTGAACTTCCGTCGAGTTTCGTTGCCCACGCGACGACTTTGTCACAAGAATTTTTCTTTCTCTACTTCTTTTTCTTTATTCGTCATCTTTCACTTACTTCACATATTAATTCTTCCATATACGAGTCATACGAAGTAAATCCTTTTGTTTGTGACATTAAAGTAAAAAAAGAAAAAAAAAAAAGAAGATCATAATTAATGGCCAAAATGATCAGGCTTCTTTTCTTTTTCATTTCTTTCTTTTGTTTTTATTTTTATTTTTTTTTTTCTATGTCGAACTGTCATTTTTTTCTTTTTTTTTTTTTTTTTTTATAAATAAAATATAAAATAAATTATAGAAGAATTTAAGAAATATTATTGAAATTTGACAAAGAGGGCAATGTTTTCGCAGCAATGCTTTCGTTTCAAACGATTATTATCAAAAATTATGAAATTGTCAACTGAGTTTACTTCTAACGATACACATTGTCATGTAATAATATATATATATATATATATATATATATATATACTTGTATAAATTATATTGATGATATAATCTTGAAAAAAAAAAAAGGGAAGAGAAAGAAATTATAATTTACGATCTACATGTTTATCGTTGTTCGTGGATCATTTCATAGAAAGTATACTATGTACAAAAATGATAGTATCGACAAATCGATCGGTTCCGGAAGCATTCTTGGAATCTTGTGTGAGGAATCGATTCAGATAGTCACGACGAGGAAGAGAAAGTTTCTACCTCTTAAGATTGTATTTGGTATAAATTTCCTATAAATCAATCGAATATTCTTTATGGTATAGAATAATTTCTATGCCATAGCAATTCTGTTTCGTAACTTAGAATGTAAACGCGTAAATTCCAATTGATTGCTATAATTACACGTTCCAATTGCAATATGTAATATTTTCTATCGTTGTTTATGTTATCTACGTGTTATTATTACGCGTTAGTATGTATAATAATATCGCATAACATTTATTTGTATTGAAAATAGAAAAAGGAAAAATGTATTTTCGCTATAGTCGATTACTATGGCTACTTTTGCCTCAATTGCAGTAATATTTGTTTTTTTTTATTTTTTTTTTTTTTTTTTTGGAAATAGATTTTTTTTTCTTTTTTGGAAAATAGATTTTTTTTTTTTTTTTTTTTAGTTTTATTTGATATTATATTTCTATACGAACGAATTTCTATCGAACGAATATGATTATTTTATTTTGAAATATAGAAATATGAATGGATTCGGTTGTCACTTAATTGCAATAACATTTTCTTTATAAGTATAATTATATGATTTAATATTTCTAATTGTTAGTATATTTTTATATCTTATTTTACATACACACACACACACACATATATATATATATATATATATATATATATGTAAGTAGAGTAATCGAATTTTAAGATATTTAAAAAAGAAAAATATTTGTCGTATTTATTTATATTAGATTATTATTATGCATATTTGTACAAATTGCAATAATATTATTTTCACGAAGAACCCATTGTAAAATTATTCAATTTTATATTTCTGTTTGTTATTACGAAATAATTATCTTTTTTTCTTTTCTCTCTCTCTCTCTCTTTTTTTTTATTTTTTTTTGATTACACATAAACGTGCTCTCAATATGATCTATAGTTCAGTTATAGTTTAATAGTTTAAACGTTATATAGATAGTCCCCGTAGTAATTTCAACAAGGAGGATGCTTTTTATAGCGATCTACATTTCCATCGACTAAACAACGTAAATGCAAACGCTACCAGATCTCAAGATGAATGTACAAATCGTAACGTTTAAC